AGAATTAAGAACAAAGTCCTCACTCTAAATTTTTCCATTAGCACCCACAATGATCCATAATATAAATACAAAATATCATCCTTTACAGGCTCCCACTGAAGGTCGAATTTTGACTTTATATGCATATCTTTATTTATTTATATCAATTGGCAGGCGTTTTGATAATTATCATTAGCCCTTTAGTTTACTTCAGAGGAGAAGGAGCATCAAAGTGAAAAAAAATGTCGAGAGGGGAACAGAAGAGTGATCCACAGATGTAAAAGAGACAAACAAGCGCAAAAGCAGAGAAAATGTAAGATGAGTAATGTGGAAGGAGTCGAATATGACATACAGTGGTGTCATGGTAGTTTGAAGTCAGAAGTCAATTGCATGAGTATACGTTGCCCAGGGTGCACCACGTGGAGGTAAGTCTATCGCACACCCCATATATGCATATATAGAACCAGGCTTAATGTAACAAAAGACATTTTCAATCTGAAATGCACTTTTTGCCTTTAACCAAAAAGTGCATGCATTGATTGAAAATTGGAAACAGCTAACAGTAGGAAGAAAATGGAGAGAACCATTTGAAAATGGGAGATTACCGACCTTATGACCTTAAATCACTTTGTTTAAAACCTGGATACCATAATTTGGAGACTTGTCCCTGTTAATGGCTAGATTCAAAACTACAATGTCTTGCAATAATAACAAGTCAGACATTAATTGAAAATCGAAAGCGTCAGAAAAATTGTCGTGACGAATGTGTTAAATAAATTTTTTTCTAAACTAAATGAATTAATTTGAATAAAATGTGATTTTTAAGATGGAATAATAGGAAAAGAAAGTGCATCAAAAATACTTTTTTGAGCTCAAAGTTGTTTGAAATTGCATAAAAATAATGCATTATTTACGTTGAATTATTCACCTTTAACTATGTCTATTATTTATAGTGATATAAAATTGCCATTCTTAATTAAATGAAGCAACTTAAATAAGTTTTTTGCTGAAAGTGAGCTAATTTTCCTGACTCATTTAATCTTTGAATTTAGGTCATGAAACACCTTCCATTTGGACAGTTCACTTTCCAAAATGATCTAACAGGAGATCTGATGATAAAAATATTGAATTCGACAGAACTCAGTAAGCCGAATTCACTCTTTGTTTAAAGATTCCTAAATTACTACCTTTTAAAGAATCAAGGTCACCATCAGTAGTGAAATACTCAAATTTTTATTAAAACCCCTAATGCAGTCTCTGCTACATAAAATCGTATATTATTCATTATTAAGATAATAAAAATCAAATTTTATAATTCCCGGAAATTAGATAATTGCTTGTTATATATATGTATACATATATATTTCACGCTTCCTTATGAATAAGTAATGCACGTGTGTAAGTCACATATATTTAATGTCATTTTATTGTTTTGCTATAGTCTCCTTCTTTGACGAAAGAATTAATAAGGGATGAAGAAACCAGTAGGGAAAAAATGAGGGAAGTGAGTTAGGAGAGGAGAGATATGATTGATACAGCCAGTTTAATCATGGATTAATTAAGTGCCCTTGTGACCACCTTAATAAATAAATACTTCCCGGAGGGGAGGGTGAATTAAATATGCATTGCAATTGGCTGCAATATTGAGAGAGAGAGAGAGAAATAGTATAATGTAAAAGTAATTATAGGCCTTTTTAATGAAGATTGACTTATCAACTGTAGCACCATTTTGTAAAATGGTGAGGACGGCTATATGATAATGGAATCCTCGCTATTAAAAAATATAGGTGTTAAACAAGAGTTTTCAGATCATGGGTTCAATGCAGGCAATAAATCTTCTAAAGTTATTTGCTTTCTTGTGCCTCTAGACACTCGAGGAAGAGAAGCGTTCTTTGCACATATGGGTTCAATTCTAGGTTCAAGTACTACGAAATAGATGACCAACGACGTTCTCCATCTACGGCAGACTACAATCCTTCTGATGTAAACTTCCCCTAACTATCGTGTAGTAAGAAGGACATTTAGGCTTGCTTATCGAACAAGTTATATTTAACCAAGAAAAGATGGATTATAGCGAAAGAGGACCATACGACTCTCTAGCCATTATTCTCTTACCAAAACGTCTGAAAATAGTTCAAATAAAAAATAGTTTGTTTTCAAGATAATTTAAATTAATATTGCCAAAATAATAGAATGAACTTTTTAGGAAAGATTCAACTCGTGTAGTTGGTGAATGAATCACTATGGGTAGATACTACCCTAAATAGCAAAAATATTATAAATAAACATTAGTTTAAGTGAATCGATAAAATTCCATCTATCCATCCTATTTTCGCTATCATCTCAGGATCATGGAGGCTTAGAAACCGGTTTGAAATATGCTAGAAATTAGGTATTGAGACCTATTCGAGTTTCCGTTTATGGAGAAAAAGCACTTTTATACGTCTGAGCGCTGCTCTCTCTACGCAAGTTGTGCTACCTGGAATTTCATTAGATGGCGGCAAAAAGTACTCTTCGAAACACTACGACTTGAGTAGTATTGACTTCCTCACCCTCCATTCGTCATTCTATTATAAGTATAACTGCGTTGTTGGGGACCTCTAGGCAATGGAAGGTAATTTTCCACAAGTTCCACCAGTGAATTCACTAATAAGTCCATCTATAAGTTAATACTATTGGGGATACGAATTAGGCAAAGGTAACCATGGCTTCCAAGTTTTTGTAAATTAATTAGATTCTGTGAAACTGAAAGCCTTTTTCACTTCTTTAAGCTTAAATTTGTTTCATATTTTGGATGCGATACTTTATTCTGAGGGGCTTCGCTCATCAGAACTTTTAAGGACATCAATAAGAGCTTTACAAGATTTTTTTGTTTGAAAGGAGTATAGGAAGGTGTCACACTTCATGATTAGATATTTCCGATGTTTCCACAAGCAGTTATTTAATAGTCATAATTATATTTTAGACTGCGGTTATAAAATGGACTCAAAATTGCCCATGTAATGGAAAATGAATAATTGTATTGAACAGAGATAAGCTAATATCATTCGCACCAGATTGATTTTTGACATTCAAATCAATTATTTTTAGTAAAGGCAGTGCAAAACTCCTCGATTTGTTTCAATCATAGAAGACTGGCCCAATGAGGGATATAAGATTTATAGGTAAGGTTGGCATTTCACTAATCATACTTCACCTAACATCTGAAGACATTTAACTTTTCCTCATTTCAATGACAAAACACCATAAACTGGTTCTAGGACAACTCATGTCCGCAATATTCGGATCTTGTTTTTAAATAGTTGAGTGGCCAACTTCCAATTTAACTGTATGTCCTAACAACTGGCAGTTGGGAGTGACAAGTCTTGTAAACATAGCGGAGCTCACCAAAATTTCGCTCGGGGTAAAATCTAATAGGTTTAATTCAAAATTACAAAATATTCTTCTGTTTTACATTCGAAAATTCTTCATTTTACGCCTTCATTTGCTTTCCTAAATAAAAATTTGGGAGTTAAAATTTCGGTATTGAAAACATTCTTTCCCCTAAAGTGCCCAATGACTCCTCTTGTCTTTTCCATTAATTGAAATAAGGCGGGCTCCTTGAAAGTATCGGGTAATAGAAGTAGACCAGTCTCGTGAATCCCAATCCAAATAGAAAAAATGATTAGATTTTAAATAGTGTTCTTTTTCCAAAGGTGCACAATGTGAGTGAATTATAAAGAGACAGGGCGAAGAAAGCTGCCTTGGAGAATATATTTCCCTTTGATTGGCTGAGTCACAGCCAATCATCTTGCTGTCAGCTGCACGCGGATGAGAAGGTAGGCATGAGAATGGCTGTAAAAGAGCAAATAGGTAAATACGCCTATTTATTTCCCTAAAACGCACTTTACAATAAGACATGTCTCAAATACAAGCCAAAGAAGCTCATGTGAGTTTAAATTTAATCATCATATTTAATTGGTTTTAGTTATATGGTTTAGGTTAAATTTACGTATTAACTTCTTTTCAATTTCATTTGAAATTTATGAATTACGTGAAAGTTTTTGTTTACAAATTCCGTCCGCTTTTCATTTGATCATTTTTTATCTTTTAACATTTCACTCGTATTATTGTAATCGGATATAGTTTTGTTTTATTTTCGATTTCGCGTTTAGCGTGTTTCTCTTGGTATGCTTAGTCTGGGCGCTTAAATCTCAGTTATTAATCGAATTGGTTGGAGCTACAACTCACATCCGCTAGTAAAAAATTTGAGATTTTATATGTATGTACCGTTGGTAGAATATCGAGGTAGCTTGTTACTAACTCGCAAAAGAATTAGTTTGTCAGTTTCATCTGAACATCCGGAGAAGTAACTACCACTGTTAAATGCAAAAATTTCAAGATCTATAAATCTTAACTCGGGTAAGTAAAGCATCTACCCCACTAAGAATGACATATAAAATCTACGGATTTCTCTCTGTACTTCTTCACATTACAAACGAGAACTAATAATATTTATCTAGGTACCGCTATAGTGCCTGCATGATTTCAATTAATCTGTCTTAACTTTAATGGTATAACAGAGCCATTAAATGTGCCAAGGGAAAGCGTGATTGCAGAGGTTGCACAGAGTCTGTAAATGGTGATTGAATGTCAGACACCATCGGCTCACATCAAGCGACCTAAGAGAGTGTAGACTGCTTTGTATTCACTTTAGAAATGCAAGTGATTGAATGCGAAATATTTGGTTTTGGCAACTATGTACAAATAAAGGATTTCATAATTTCGCATATCTTCATCCAAGACTATCTTCTATCAACATTTGACGCTTAACTTGTCACTAACTACTAAGAATTTCTTGCAAATAGGGCCTTTCTGACACTTGCATTACCTCAATAGACTTCCAACTAAACCTACGACTAATTCTCAAGAGGGCTTCAGGTTCATTGACCTTACTGGGGAGGCACCGACCGCTTTGTTATCAAAGAATCACGCAAAGATTCGCGGATGCGCATACACACAAACACACAGCCCATCTTCTGGTGTGCGCGGTCGTTTTGAATAATTAAAAACGCATATATAAGCTCCCTCACTCGCCTTCTCCGCCTAACTCTCTCTCTCTCTTAAGGCTGTTCTCTCTCTCCCTCTCTTCCTCATGCATAATTTAGACTGTGTAGCAGGTAAAATTCATCTCCGCTCCGCTCCACTGTGTGTGCACCTCTCTACACTGCGTATATGTGTTTCTGACCACCTTCCTAATTAGCATGAACTGGGAGTGAGTTATAACTTATTCAAGCACGATTCTGAGACAGGGGCGCTATAGCATGCGTTTCAACTCATCTATTATTTACTCCTCCTACCGGTAGAAGCATATGTGTAAAATTAGGGCATTCATTATTCTCCTCTTTCTAGTCTTGCGTTTCCACTTTTCGTCATCACTATACCCAGCACAGAGCCTAGCCTCTTGGCCTTAATCTGAGTTTTCTTACATAATTAGGTATGAATTAGGCTATGAGTTGACTAAAAAGGAAATATCAAATAATTAATGTGTAATTTCTGTTAGTACCTTATTAAAATAATGATATTTATTTCATTTTCCATTTTTGTTCCGATTCAGACTTCATCAGAATCCATATCGAGACTTCCGGAAGTGCAAAAGAACTTAATGGAGACCCTGCTAAATCAAAATCTTTCCGAGGTGGGAACTCCAATGACCGCGCACGGATTAATGTACCAAAATACAGAGGTGATTCGAGAGATGCTTTATATGTTGAATAGTATCTGCGGTCAAGCAGCTGTTCTATCACCTAATATAGGTCGTCCTGGAGATAGGAAATCAGCACCAAGTTATATAGAAGCGAAACCTATTAATCTTACCAGAAATCAGACACCCAGCTATGAATCTGACCTGTTGTTTCCACCCGCTTCTACAAAGGGACAGTTTGTTTGTCCGAACTGTGGACAAGACTTTCTCAATCGAGACGCACTCGCTATGCACATGATGGAGAGTGTGCATTCAGAAGCTTGTGCAGGCACCAATAACGTAGCCGGCTGCAGTAAAGAAGATCGAAATGCGAAGTCAGTCAATTGCCACCATTTGAAAATTCCTTCCATCAACCAACCCACAAGTTCAACTCGTCGTTATATCAGACTTCCATTCCCACCTAACAGTGGCAATACCCAATTTGATTCAATCTTTCAATCCATCACAAAGACTACTTCGCCAACGTTAGATGTTGGAGTTCCACGACCTGGAAGAAAACCTAGACGCCTAATTCCAATTATAGCAGGAGGTGACAGAGGCGGCCCGGAACAGACTGAAGACATATGCAGGAATCCACTTTCACTAAAAAGGTCCAAATCTTGTGAGCCCAAAGTCGAAAATAGAACTCAAGATCAGCCAGATAGAGCCAGTTCAACGCCTGGTGGTCTACATGCCATTAAAATCAGAAATACGGTTGATTCTTCCAATGATCTTAATAATAATACCTATAGACACAAAAGAATGGAAATCGGCGAGCATGAAAGTCATCGGCGTCCCAAAGTAAGTTTAGTTTTTTTAAAGCTAAATTCTAGGATCTCAAAGTTACAAATTGACGTAAGAAAATCATTAAGTTGGCTATCTTATTCAAATTTAGTACAGGCAATTTCCATTCAAATGTCTTTTTTGTAAGCAGATCTCAGAAAATTTTATCAAATTTGATTGGATTTGAATTTCTATAAACACCCTTAGAAATAATATTTATTTTAATAAAAAGGTCAAAATTTTCAATGAAATATTTCCCTGACTCAATGGAAACACAAATGTTAGAAAAGTGGCCTTACTTGTGGGGTTTATTGTGTGCATGAGAAAGAGAGAAATAAGTTTCCTTCGTTATTTAATAATTTCTCTGCGCGCAATACTTAAAAGATGAACTATTTTGAGGTTACCTTCATTTTAGGTTGTAATAACCGATCCTCCGATAGTGAAAAGAGCCCGCACCTCCGTGATAGATGATGATGATGATGCTGGTGATGAAGCCTCAGCAACAGTTCGAAAGGGAGAAAGAGTAGGTGCTGTATCATCTGGAGGTCTTTCTAATCAGTGGCTACCTTCTGATTCAGCACCCGGGGATATTGCAGTTGGGGCTCCCTACCCATTTGTGTGTCGGCACTGCGCGATCGGTTTTTCCGATCAAACTCTCTTTAATCTCCACATGGGTCTTCATACATCCTTCAATCCTTGGCAATGCAATATGTGCAGCAAGGAGTTCTCAAACGTCTATGAGTTTACTGCCCATGCTTTGCACTACTGAAACAGCTAATTTGAATTGTGTCTACTTCGTCCGATTCTTCCTTTTATTCGCTTGAAAACTTTTCAATCCAGTCACATCTCCTTGTACAACAGATATCATGTCACAATTTTTGTCATCATTTTTCAAGCTACCATAGAGTAATCACGCATTTACCAGAAAAAAGATACTCATGTTGGAATTGTATAAGCTTTGGTAACCTTGATAAGAAATGAAGCAAGAATGAGGAGGAGTTCTATTGATAGCTTACGTTACGATTGTGCAGAGTGTAAAGTATATCTTATGGCCAATAAACAATCAGGGAGCATTAAAGCACATCTTACCGAGTCACACGAGCAGTAAAGTGAGCTACAGCAAATGATTTGACTACTGCGGTTACAATCCTTCAATGAGGTTTACGGAGTTAAAAACTGGTCTATGGAAGATTGTGATGTGGAGATAGGTAAATCAATTTTTAGACGCGATCGTTGTTTAGTTATCCAGGAGAAATTTATTTATTTAAAACGGCAGGCGTTTTGATGGTTAACATTAGCCCTTTAGTTGACTTCGCGGTTCACAGAGAGGAGGAGGAACATCAAAGTGACAAAAAGTCCGACACAGAGAGGAGGAGGAACATCAAAGTGACAAAAAGTCGAAAAGTCGAGAGAGGAGGAGGAACATCAAAGTGACAAAAAGTCGAGAGAGGGGGGACATATGAATGATTCACAGATATAAAAGAAACAGACACAAAGGTAGAGAGGAAGAGGTAAGGTGAGTACTGTAGAAATGGTTGAATACGACATACAGTGGGAGTCATGGTAGTTTGAAGTCAGAAGTCAACTGCCGGTTAATAGACTTTTTTGCTGCATGAGTATACGTTGCCCAGGGTGCACCATGTGGAGGCAGGTCTATTTACACATCCCATCCAGGAGAAATATAATTATAACAAAAAGGGCATAGTTTTTCTTCACCAATATTATACCTTAGCTAAGTTTTTCTTCCAACTTTAATGAAATAGCACCACACACTCAAAATTTCCACCTTAACTAATGTGATTAGTTTTCCCCATTCTTTATATTTGGGCTTAAGATATCAGTATGCGGTTCAGAGGATTATTTGGTTCCGAATCAAATACCATCATTTAAAACGGATTATCTAGTTCTCTTCAAATTGAAAAAATAACTGTTTAGTGACTGATATTTGCATCAAGTCAATTTTCGGCCAGTTGGATTGGATTCACTGGATGCCAGGCAGCAGATTATTTAGCAAAGAGGGGATTTAGGAAACGTCACTTTTCTCTAGTTAGAAATTGAAAATTGGCAACATCTCAATGCAACTGCCCATATAAATATGACAAATTTTCCTATCCATTCAATGAAAATGATGAATGCATATCAACGAATTTTTAAGGAGTTGAATTTTATTCT